TTTTTTTTTTTTTTGGTAGTGGCTCCGCTTTCTCCCCACTTAATGATCTGACATCCTTGCTGAAAATCAACCGAACATAGATTTATGGGTTTATTTCTGGACTCCCAGTTTGTTCCATTGATCCGTATGTCTCGTGTTGTTTCAGTACCACACTGTCTCGATTACTGTTGCTGTGGTAAGTTTTGACACGGGGAAGTGGAATCCTCCAGCTTTCTCTTTCTTTTTCAAGATGGTCTTCGCTATTCCCGGTCTCCTGTAATTCCGTATGAATTCTAGGGCCAGCCTTTTCATTCTGCAGACAAGGTCACTGGCGTATTGAAAGGGATTGTTTTTCATCTGTAGATCTCTTTACATAGGATTCCTATGTGTACATTAAGAGCTCAAATTTCCAATGCTGCTGTGATGCCTTTGAGCCTCAGAATACCCCACTGGCCTAACTGTGATTTCCCCTGCTCTCACCTGAATGTCTCCTTCTTCTGGGACAGGTACCCCACCCAGCTGGGTTCTCTCCGATCAGCCAGACTAGCTGCACCCCACCTGCTCCTCTGCCCAACGGGTTTTCCTTGCCTGCCAGCCAGTGGAATTTTTCAAATAAGGTGATCATGCCCTCTTGTGGGAACCAGGGAGCGCCCCACTCTCTTGCTACTCTGCAATCTCTTTCCCATCACCCCTGTCAGTTCACTCTACTCCTGAACACAACTCCCCTGCCGCGCTGCACGGCATGCCCTGTCCTCACCCCGGGTGTGAATGTGTGACTAAAAGAGCTGTCAATCACATCTGTCCGGTGCCAGTGTCGTGTGCTTGGCCATCTCACACCATTAGGGTAGGGGATCCCTCCTTCACCAGTGGGGTGGATGGGAGATAAAGAGAACTGCAGGTGGGTCAGAAGGGGGAGGTAGGGGGTAGGTCGTGGGGCAGTCTTGCGGAAAGGAGCCCCCCTGGGACAGGCCCAGGTTGACCTTCTAAAGGGTTGTGGAAAGGCATAGCTTGAGGCCCCACCACAGAGGAAGGATCATGAATAATATAGCTCCCCGATTGTCTCTCAAGTGTGCCTGTTCCAAGTGAGACCCGATCAAATTCGTAAGCTTTTGCACAGCAAAGGAAACCACCAACAAAATGAAAAGACAACCTACGGACTGGCAGAAAACATTTGCACATAATGCAACCGAAACGAGATTAATTTCCAAAATATACAGTCAGTTCATACACCTCGTTTTTAACATTTTTGTTGAGTTACAGTCATTTTACAATGTTGTGTCAAATTCCC